TGTATGTCTGAGGGGAACTTACTGTCTTTAGAAAAGTTTAGATGGTATTTTTTCTTTTCATCTTGCCTCTGTATAATGCATATTAAAGTTCGTAAGTTCAGCGCTGCTTTGTTTACAGTGGAAACCAAGGAAACGCTTTAAGCGCTACCTGCTGGCAGAGAGTGAATCTGCGTCTCATTCTCGTCTGCTGTTTCTGTTTCATGCAGATATTTTTGTATGTATAGTTTCACAAAACTGAAGTCAAACCATTCTGTTTTTGCTTCAAATTTCGAAATTATACAATTTAATTTAGATTAAAAACTGCTCATGTTGCATGTATGCAGCATCTTTGTTTGGATAATGATTATTATTATGTTTAATGATTATTAAACATAATTATATCATTGTTTTGCAGTGGTTGCCTCTAATTTTAAATGGAAAGAGCTCAGACAAAGCTAATTTTGTTTATATGAAGAGATTTCTTTTATTTGTGTTACTTATTTATTTGATTTGGGGCTTGTTTTAAAATTTCAATTTAGTTTTGTTATTTACATTTACATTATATTTAAATTTTGTTATTTAGCAGACACTTTTATCCAAAGCGACTTACAAATGAGGACAATAGAAACAATCAAAACCAACAAAACAAAAGAGCAATAATATACAAGTGCTATATTAGTATATTATTATAGTGTTATATTCCAATTTCACAAAGAAACATGCAGCATTTTGTCCAAGCAATAATAAAAGTACACATTTAATTTATAATTTGTCTTAAATCTCATTTTGTAAAAAAAAAAAAAATCGTGAGTTGAGTGAATCGTTACATCCCTATCAAGCATATAAAATTTGAAATTAGTTAACAATGCCATTATTCTATTTGAGTTCTATTATTTTCTAGAATTACCTGTTTTAATAATGCAGTAATGTTAGTTAACTCTGTAAAGCCTGCAATATGAAATAATAGTTAGATAAAGGCTTTTACAGATCATATACAGAGGTTTACATTAGTTTTATTCAGAAGCACAAAATGAGCAAAATTGCTGATATTTAAACGCCAAAAATGAAATTTTAATATCTTGTCATGTAAATCAATGAGCTCTTTATAGCAGCGTGATCAACTACTTGTGTAAAGTGCTTAGGAAAATCATTTGTCACTCTGTAATAATATGTCTTGATATGATATGATATTTAATATGATATCTATGATATTTAAATGCTTAGTTTTTTATTGTAGGGGGCAAAACATATAATGCGACCGATACAAAACAGTGATGACTGAGGGATAAACATTTCTCAAAAGTCTAATGTAGGCTATCATATTTGATACTCACATTTTAAATGGAATTTTCAAAAAAAAATGCCATATGGATAATCAAGTAAACCTAAGTAGCTTCTATCCAGTAAATGTTCATCTTAAATAACAATATAAAAGTTATTCTTGCATTCTCATTTGCCATTTCCACATAGGAATAGATCTTTTCACAAGTTTTTGTGTGTGTTTTTCCTCCATCGTGGACGTGCTGTGGTGTCACCCCTTCAGTTTTTGTGTGTTTTCTGCATTGTAACTGACATTTTTGACTAATTATGTAACCAAAAAAAAATCTATATTTGTATAGTCTCCCATTGATGTCTATGGGTGATATTTGGGGGGTGGGGGGATAGGGTGTGTGTACGAGCATAATCGTTCTGCATTGTGGAAGGGTTGCCACTTTATTTTCGTGTATTTTGTGATCCGCATTGTGGTGGATTTAGTGATTTTATTTGACAAACTAAAAAGAAAAAGTATCGTTTCCCTATTCATTTTTTATTTTATTTCAGCAAACGTCATTTGGGGTCAAAAAGACCCCGAACAGCACCTAAGGGTTAAAGGAGATGACTTAGAAATGTATTGATCAAATTCAATATATGATGTTATTGTGATTTGGAAATTGCTCTGAAACCGATTCCTCAGGAGGTACCTGAGGACCCAAAGGTTGGCTGTTGACGTGCCAGACAGGAAGACGACTACCAGCTTCTGTCTTCTCTCTTCCTCATTCTCTCCCACTCAAAAACACCTCCTCACCTGGTTTAACATAGTTGCCCTCTTCTCTGGCAGGATGTAAGATTGGAGAATTCAAATGCAAGAACGATCAGTGTGTCTCAGAGAAGCTGAAGTGTGACGGGAATCCTGACTGTAAAGACGGCTCAGATGAAGACGGCTGTACAAGAGGTGATGATATGTTAGATAAAGAGTAATACAAGCCTGTTTATTTATTTTAGTGTTATTTTTGTTGTTTATTGTGTTTGAAAATATTCAGAGAATATATTTCGAAAGCAGTTTCCTTCTCTACATTCTTTCTCATTGCTTGTCATTCTGTCTTACAGATATTTGTAAAGCCTCAACGTTTGCATGCAATAATGGCAAATGTATCACAAAACAGAACCCTATGTGCGATGGACAAGATGACTGTGGTGACAACTCGGATGAATCCAGCTGCGGTGTGTGGCATCTACTTCCTCACATCTATTCTTCAACACATATTCTGCATTGTTTAATCTTGATCTGTGTTCTCTCGCTCTTTCCTTCTCCTCTAGACTGTGGTAAGAAGGCTTACACAAATTCTCGAATTGTGGGTGGGCAGGAAGCAGATATGGGCGAGTTCCCATGGCAGGTCAGCCTGCACGTTAAAAACACAGCACATGTTTGCGGTGCATCAATCATCAGTGACCTATGGCTTGTGACGGCAGCCCACTGCGTTCAAGACGATGTCAAAATCAAGTAAATGTTCTGTTTGTTTCTTTTTTGTTTCTTTAATCTATAACTTTCACTTGAGAAACTACACCATTAACTAAACATTTCTGGCCTCAAAAACCACTTGGACACTTACACTACAGGTCAAAAGTTTGGAATAATTAGGATTTTTTTTATGTTTATGAAAGAAGTCACCAAGGCTACGTTTTTTTAAATTATAAATACAGTAAAATGTTATGAAAAATTTAAAGGGGTCATATGATGCTATTTTAAAGATCATTATTTTGTGTATTTGGTGTAACAGAATATGTTGACATGCTTTAATGTTCAAAAAACACATTATTTTTCAAATACTGTACATTATTGTAGGTCCTCTATGCCCCGCCTCTCTCAAACACGTAGTTTTCAACAAAGCCCCCTCCTTTGACAAGCGCAGTCTGCTCTGATTGGCCAACTGACCCAGTGCATTGTGATTGGCCGAACACCACAAGCACACGTCGTAAATGTAACGCCCCTTACCATAATCGCAAGCTTCATCTTTCAAAATAAATGTAGACAGAGCCCGAAAGGGGAACAGAGTCGCGTGACAGACACAGTGATGAAGCTGGTATGTGTTTGCAGTACACAAGCCACGGTTAAGACAGCTGACTCCACTCTGATGTGCCCCTGTCTCTCTCTCTCTCTCTCTCACACACACACACACACACACACACACACAAAACGCGTTACTCAGCGCTGCACAAAACTCCGCATTTGAACAGTCAATAGCAAATACTTAAACTAATAACAAAACAGTAGCTGATTCAGAAGCGCCAGATTGTCATAGCAAAGTCAGAATTACCTCCTCTCCTAGGTTCACGAAACGGCAACAACAATACTACAGCGAGAATAAAAGTTACGCCTTCTTTCTTTGCTTGAACATTTGGGCGGTGTTATGCAAATCTTCCCAGATCGTGACGTAGGTATGTGGGGGCGTGTTAGAACGAGCCATTTTAGGTAGGCGTGGTTGACTCTTAACGTTTATAAAGAATATCTCTTTGGATTTGAGACTTTAGTCTTTGCAACTTTACAGATCTTCTTTATGCACCAAGAGCTTGTAACACTCCAAAGAGAAAGGAAAACTTGAAATCGCATCATATGACCCCTTTAAATAACTTAACTATTTGAATATATTTTAAAATGTCATTTATTGCTGTGATCAAAGCTGAATTTTTAGCATCATACCTACAGTCTTCAATGATTTTTCAGAAGTCATCTGTTATTAATGGTGCTCAGTTAATAATTGTTCTTTTTATTGTCAATGTTGAAAACAGTTGTTGGTGCTTTTTTTGTTTTTTTTTTTAAACAGTACTTTATTCAGAATTCTTTAAGTGACTTGAAAGTTCAATGAACAACATTTATTTGAAATAGAAATCTTATGAATGTCTTTACTGTCTCTTTATCAATTTAATGTGTCCTTGCTGAATAAAAATATTACTCTCTCTCTTTTTTAATCTTTAAATCTTACCCCAAATGTTTGAATGGTGGTATATCATGATTTCCACAAAATTGTTAAGCAACAAAAACTGTTTTTAACATTGATAATAATGAGAAAAGTTTCTTGAGCAGCAAATCAACATATTAGAATGATTTCTGACACCGAAAACTCAGTTTTGCCATCACGGGAATAAATTACAAAAATATTCAAAAAGAATAAATTTTATTAACATGTTATTTTAAATGGTACAAATATTTCACAATTGTATTGTTTTTACTGTATTTTCCTTCAAATAAATGTAGCCTTGGTGAGCAGAAGAGTTGTCTTTAGAAATGATCATCTAAAAAGTGAATGTCTTTGTATTAAATAGCTAAAGTTCTGAGAAGTTCTAGTATCTTGGTTTGGTATGTTGCCACTTGGATTGAAAAAAAAGACCATGTATATTAAAGCTACGCTATGTAACTTTTGGCCATCTAGCTGTTAAAAAATATGCATGCGTCTTGTTTTGTTTGTGGTTCAACACACTGCTATACACAGTCATCTTATCGGAGCAGAAATAAAAAAAAAAAAGTTATATAGTGTAGCTGTAATATAATCAGTACGCTCTTAAACTTATATGTGACCCTGGAGCACAAAAGCAGTCTTAAGTCGCTGGGGTATATTTGTAGCAATAGCCAACAATACATTGTATGGGTCAAAATTATAGATTTTTCTTTTATGCCAAAAATCATTAGGATATTAAGTAAAGATCATGTTCCATGAAGATATTTTGTAAATTTCCTACCGTAAATATATTAAAACTTAATTTTTGATTAGTAATATGCATTGCTAAGAACTTCATTTGGACAACTTTAAAGGTAATTTTTTCAATATTTTGATTTTTTTGCACCCTCAGATTCCAGAATAGTTGTATCTCGAACAAATATTGTCCTATCCTAACAAACCATACATCAATGGAAAGCTTATATATTCAGCTTTCAGATGATGTATAAATCTTAATTTTGAAACACTTAAGACTGGTTTTGTGGTCCAGGGTCACATATCGATCAGTTACATTGGTTTTCTTACTCAAGACATTTAGGATGGCAGAGAAAACATTCATGTCTGTACGTCTGATGAATTCACAGATATGCTCAGGCAGGAACATGGGAAGCATACTTGGGTCTCCACAGACAAACAGAGAAACAGAAGGCAACAAAGAGATTCCTAAAACAAATCATTCCTCACAAGAACTACAACTCCCACACCTATGACAATGACATCGCTCTGATGGAGCTGGACTCACCCGTGACCTTCAGTGCGACCATTCGACCCATTTGCTTGCCCACTGCCACTGACGTCTTCCCCACTGGTGAAACAGTCACTATCAGCGGCTGGGGTGCCACCAGAGAAGGGGGTCAGTAAAAGAGCTACACAATGATGCTTTATACCTTTCACAAAGCCTGACATCTTTCAGCCCGAGATCAAACATTCTTATCAGTTACACTTTACAATAACGTTCCATTTGTTAACATTAGTTAACTGCATTAGTTAACATGAACCAACAATGAAAAATACTTCTAAAGCATTTATTAATCTTCATGTTATTAGTTAGTTGATTTTGACATTTACTAATACACTATAAAAACAAAAGGTTGTATATTATTTATTAGACTTGAGTGAACTTGAACTAGCAATGAATAGTTGTATTCTTACTAATTAATGTTAACAAAGATTTAGAAATATTGTAACTAAAACCATTCAGTAACTTGGTGTTTGGTGTGTGTGTGTGTGTGTGTTTCAGGCGCTGGAGCACCTGTGCTGCAGAAAGCGAATGTTCGCATCATCAACGGCACGGTGTGTGACGAACTAATGAATGGACAGATCACATCTCGCATGACGTGTGCTGGCGTTCTGTCAGGAGGAGTGGATGCTTGCCAGGTGGGTTTCATACGCCGCTTAAAAGTCTATTGATCACTGGAGCAGAAGCACACTTTTAAGTGCTTTAAACATACAAGTGCTCATGATTTTTCCTTTCAAAGCATGTATATTTTTATTTCGGTTTATTTCATTGTTTGGTTTAGTGATCAGTATTAGAGAATTTACAACAGCTTCGAACGCGGCTCAACCAATCAGAATCAAGGACCGGAACTATCCGTTTTATAATTATTTATTTATTTATTACAATATCAGTTTTGGTCGACATATTCACTTGTTAATGCTAATCTTCCCTATTTTTAGATTTAGATCTCTTTTGCCATGCTCTCTTAAGGTTGATCTTTAAAATCACTTGTATTTTAATAACACTGTTGAATGTAATGTGCATGATAGTGATGCAATGCCAAAATTCAATTGAGGCATTTTAAAATATGTTTGTGTTTTACTTTATACTTTTATTTTTTCAAGTAGTATTGAATTTAAAATGGGCCATTTATCGGTTATCATACAATATACAGATTATTATTGTTGTTGTAATTATATTTAATTAATTTTGGTATGAACTAGAATGTTAATATCAGTCCACTCATGTAGCATTTCAAATGATTGATATATGTTGTTATGGTTTAATGTTTAGTTAATTTCTAAAAAATAATATTGACGTTTAATATCAGCCATTTATGGTTTATTCATCATAAAATAACAATTATCTGCTTTTTGGTATCAGTCAGAATTTTAATATTCCTAATTTAATTGCCATTTTATTTAACCGTTTCTCTTTATTTTTCTTTGTTCGCTCACATGTTAGTATCCTCCAATGCGCACACGCACTAGTCTAGACTTCACGTAATGTATGCGTGCGCTCTGTAGGGATGTTTTGAATGGTTTTTGCAAAATACTCGATAATGTCAAATCGCACATCGTTAAAACAACAATTACGATATTATCGCAGACGATATATATCGCACACCCCTAATCCTCCATCTAAATAACACCCTTTTTCTTTCCTCAGGGTGATTCTGGCGGTCCTATGTCTTTTTTAACAAATGATCGTATGTTCCTGGCGGGAGTGGTGAGCTGGGGTGACGGTTGTGCTCGCAGAAACAAGCCAGGCATCTACACAAACGTGCCAAAATTCAGGGCCTGGATCAAGGAGAAGACAGGAGTATAAGTTGCTCATAGATTTTATGAACGGTTTTGTTTTCTCAGGTTGCAAACGTTTTAATAACATACGTGGAATAACCCAGCATAGCCTGGCTGAAGAGTGGGATGGACTTTTGACCTGTTTTTGTCTAACAATTGTTTTATACATTTGTATATTTTAAGAGGAGAGCGGTTTGAGGGTTTTATTCTGTCTAAAGATATGTAAATAAATGTCTTATTTTCTCCTTTTAACGGTTTTGTGGTTTTTAGTGACTACATTCTTAAAGTGAAGCTTTTATTTTTTGAATGTGAATGATTTAGCTTTGTTTTCTTTGGTTCAAGGAGTGTGTATTTCTAGTGTCACACTCGCATGCTTGAATGTGAACATCTTAAATCTTTTCATGACTTTTGTGCAAAATGTATGTATGTAATGTGATTTTAAAGTTTGAGTTACACATGGAAACACTTGAAAAGAAGTCGAGAGTCTGGAGTGCTTTAAATTTGATTCAGGGATCACATTTAACACAAAAAAATAAATTTAGAAACAAAAAAACATGTTTCATTCACAATTTAGCAACCTTTTACAAATAAATGTGTATCTGATTAATACAGTGTGAAATTTGTATAATGCTTACCAAAAGAGTGCAACAAATCGATTCTAGAAGTACAAATTTCATTCATTTTCTGCCTATAGGAGATTGTTTGAAAACTTCAAATACAGACTTACAGTGATTTCAGACGTTGTCAATCAATAATATACCCAGTTTGTTATTTCATTGTTAATAGTGTTGAACAATGCAGTTGGTCAAGAATTACACACCTGTGAATGGACAATTATTTTGTAACTTTTTCTTCATTTTTAAAAAAATCATTATTCCTTGAACTTCCAAAACTCCTGTGGTATGTGAGGTGATTGTTTTATTTTGTACAAAAGCAATCTTCTTTACAGACTTTCCGTTACTGTGAGGTCAAAAACTGTATATTTTTATATAAAAAAAATTAAAAAGCTTGTTTCATATCGTTTTTACTGGACACTGCTGAAAAAATAGATAAATATACTAGTGCAAGAGTGATGCAGGCTTCTTTGCACTCCACAAACTTTTTTCATCCACGTGTTGTTTTGTATTTCAATACACAGAATATCTGAACTTTTGCTGTAGTAAGGATTATGTATTGACCATAGACTGTATAAAAACATGGACGTAGTGTCCGTAACGTCACCCGTAGGTTCCTGAAGAGGTTTTTGAAGCGTCACCGCGCATCACTCCCGGATAATCGAAAATGGGGGAGCTGGTTGCTGAAACCACGCCCACCTAGCTCGGTGGTGGTGACAGCAGCGGCAATCCACCTGTCACTCAAGTGGCCACGCCCTTAATTATGCAGAACTTTAAGGCTTAATATAATTTAAACGGATGACTTATAAAAAAATTCACCCCCCTCACAGTTGTCATGAAGGGCAAAATTAGCTATATAAACCAAAATCATTTTTTGAACCAGGCTGTAAACATGTTTTTTTCTGCTGTAAAGTTGGGCATTTTAACATGGGGAGTCTATGGGATTGACTCCCTTTTGCAGCCAGCCTCTAGCGGCCAATCGATGAATTACAGTTTAAGTCACTTCCTTTGTTGGCATCACGAGAGAAAGCGGGAGGTTGCCGCTTGGTATTGACACGCGCGGTATCCGGACTGTAAACACAGACGGACCAGAAACGATCCCAAGTTAACGCTCCGGTATTGCACCTTTTCAAGAAGCGTAAATATGACAAAAATGTAGCCATCAAATGTGCTTTACAATACCTGAGAAACGTCCACTATAAATATTAACAATGGTAATGTGAAATTAATTTGAAATTGGACAGTTGTGCGTTGTAAACCCGGAAGTAATTGAAAGTTTAGTTTACACTAACTTCATGCCTGTGAATCGCACTGTCTCTGGTTAAAGATGTCCCATGAGCGAGAGGAGAGTCGGAGCTGGGACTGGGACGGTCCTCGGTGTCGAGCCCAGCTGGACGAGGTGTTTTTCCTCCAGCATGACTACATCCAGACGGCCGGCGCCGAGCACAAGGAGTTCTGGAGCTTTTTTGAGCGTTTCCAGAGATTCAAAGCCAAGAGAGAGAGATGTCAGCCGCCAAATCCAGCAGACGAGAATCACACGAGGGGAAAGCCAGGAAGAAGTCTGAGTCTGTGGATCTGGGGCTTCCGAAGGACTATGATGCCAGGTACAGGATCAACATCTCAGTGCGCTCCAAAGACATAGAGGAGCGCCTGGGAGGATCTGAGCACAAGAGGCGCAGGGGCCCCTCTGGTCCTGGCAGGCAGGAGATCACAGAGTCTTGCCCTCTTCCATTTCCTAGACTTCAACCAGAAGCAGACCCAGACAGCAACGGGTGTCGGCCCAGATCCGACCCGCATGGATTTCACGCAGGCCAGATGTGGGCCGGATCTGGGCCAACACTATGTTGCTGTCTGGGGAGCTTCAACAAGCTTTCCAAGTTGAGAAAGGAGCAGAAGAGCCTCCCTATCTTCCAGTACCGGGACAGGATAGTGGAGCTGGTGGCTGGAGACACGGGGTGTGGGAAGTCCACACAGGTGCCCCAGTATCTGCTGGCATCAGGGTTCAACCACAGCCTGTACTCAACCTCGCCGCATTGCCTGCATCTCACTGGCCAAGAGAGTCAGCTTTGAGAGCCTCAACCAGTACGGCTCCAAGGTACAAAGATCTTTACCATTTAGTACATTATTTTCACATTATTTAATATTTGCATTTCATTACATTACATTTTACATTTACATTTAGTCATTTAGCAGACGCTTTTATCCAAAGCGACTTACAAATGAGGACAATGGAAGCAATCAAAATCAACAAAAGAGCAATAATATGCAAGTCTCAGTTAGCTTAACGCAGTACACGTAGCAAGGTGGAGTGCGCTTTGTGGTCGATTCAGGTACCTGTTGTTATTTATTATTATTTTCCTAGTTTCTATATATATTTTAAATATTTTATCATTTTAAAGTTTTTAAAAAATATATATATTAAATATATTTTATTTAAAATTTTAAGATTTTATAAGAGCCTGCTACCAACTTTTATATCATCGTCCTTCCCAAAAATGTCTGTTTTCTTCATGTTGAAACATCACTGATGTTTCTCAATAGGAAAGGTGAAAGAGATGATTTTTGATCCAAAGGCCAAGATGCAGAGGCTGCAGGAGTTCTGGATCAGCAGGGCCAGTTCTGGACAGAGGAAGGGACGAGCAGGCAGAACTGGACCGGGAGTCTGTAACTGACTCTACTCTGAATCTGATTATGATGCTTTCGCCCCATATCCTGTTCCTGAGATCCACAGGGTGGCACTAGACTCCCTCATCCTACAGGTGCCCTCTCACATTTGCGAAAACAAATCTTTGGTTTCATGAAAATTATATAAAAAAAGCTCCACCAGCTGAAGCGAGACCATGAGCTCCAGGAGAACACCAAGAGGAAAGTTCTGTGCCTGGAGGGAGACGCCTGTCTGGGTCTGACGATGAGGGAGCAGGATCGAGCAAGAAGAGAAGAGATGATGCTGAACAGACTGTGGACATACAGGTGCCTCAGCTGATTTAGATTTTATAGCATGAAAAGGAAAGAGAGAGCTAATCTAGATTCAACAGTTTACTGTATTCAGTTCTTAAAGAGACAGTCCACCCAAAAATGAACATTCCGTCATCATTTACTCACCCTCAAACATGTGTACTTTCTTTCTTCTTTGGAACATAAAAAAAGATATTTCGAAGAATGTTGGTAACTAAACAGTTTTGGTTCTCATTGACTTCCATTGAATGGAAAAAGAATAAAATGTCAATGGAAACCAAAACTATTTGAACAACATGAGGTTTGATATGAGGGTGTTTATTTTTGAGTTAACTATCCCTTCAGTTTAATATACAATAATGTTGAAAATGTAGTGAGTAAGATTTCTTAATTTTTTTAAGGAATTAATTATTTTACTCAACGAGGATGCATTAAATTGGTCAAAGTGTTGGTCAAAATACTACAAATTTTATTTTATATAAATTCTGTTCTTTTGAACTTTCTGTTCATCAGAGAATCCTGTAAAAATGTATCGTGATTTCCACATATGATGAAATGAAAATGAGACCAATCGGACCAATCACCGCAGATTAGCGTTACGCAAATGAGGGATTTGGAAAAATTAATCGTTGAGCGAATCGTTTGGGAGTCGTTGAGCAAGTAAGGTAAAAATAAATGCATATTATAAGACAATGAAAGTGTTTTTTGACCTTGCATGCATGTCAACCTGTTGTTGGGGACTCCCAAAACCAAAATATGAACCTTTCATTACCCATAATAGGGGCACTTTAAGAACTGTTTTCATAACTGTTTCCCTGAACTGTTTTCTGGTACTATCAATCTTGATCAAACGCTCATGATAATGACTTTCTCTCATAGGTTAGTTACAGTCCGAGGCGTCTGACAGCGCTGCAGTCTCAGAACCTGTACATCGGACCGCAACTGGATCCCGATCTGTATTCCGCTTCGGCTGTCGGCTCTGTTTCCTGGCATGAAAGCCAAACCAGATCCCATTAAAGGCCTGCATTTGTGCAGCTAATTTACCTACAACTGTCTGTGTGTAAGTGCTCTTCCTCAAACAGGATGTGCTTAAAAGCCCTTTCTTACAGTGCTCTAATAGCACCACTTCCTATGTTTTTTAAAGCATGTTGTGTAGGACTCTTAAGGACCTGTACAGTGAATGTTTACGCACTTTTTGGAGCTGCCCTCACTGTGACCTTTACATGCCCCTGACGCCTTTGGAGCGCATGCAACACGAGGCCACCTGCAGGCCGCCGGAGGAACAGCAGCCTGAGGAAGGTGAGCGGCAGGAAGCAGGATTGTAAAGGCTCAGAATGTGCTTGGATGTCTTACTATAGAGCAGTGAAGTGATGTACTTTTGTAGGCCAGCCTGGAAGTTAGTGTCACCGTGGTTCCCTCAACAAAAACCCAATATGATTATTTCCATGAACACAGCCTAAATATAGTCGCCAGAAGTAAAAACTTAAATAGGCTGTAAATAAACTACACCACGGTCACATGACTTCAACGTCACCACCATTAAGCATCCAAATCTTTTTAGTCTTTATTTAAAAAAACATTTTCTCTGAAGAATAGTTTGCAAAACCATGATTATAAACACAGTGAGGCTGTGAAAGTGAATTGAGTAGTCCTGACAACCTCTGTAGTCCCATTTAGACTTGTTAGTAACTCCCTTTTTCAAGACAAGTAAAAGATTTGATTTTACTGATGTATTTTATGCCATAGAATAGAGCATTAAAATACGCAAAGAAAGAAGGCGTAACTTTGATTCTCGCTGTAGTATTGTTGCCGCCGCCGCCATGTCGCGAAGACGCTGTGTTTCGTTGTGGTTCGCTTGAGGTATTCGGCCAATCACAACGCACTGAATAGCTGACCAATCAGAGCACACCTCGCTTTTCGGACCGATGAGCTTTGTAAAAATCGACGTGTTTCAGAAAGGCGGGGCATAGAGGAGCAACAATAATGTACAGTATGTGGAAAATAATGTGTTTTTTTAACCTTAAACCGCATAAACA